CCCAGTTGTGCTCCCTTCCAAGCGCCGACCCATTACACCAGAGATTGGCAGGCGGCGAAAGATGAATTGGTCCTTGGCAAACAGTGCCCACAGCTTCAGTCCTTGATCGAAGCCATGCGGGAAAGGACTCGGGCGACGCGGGCTCTGACTGCAATCTACCGGATTCCCATCGAACTCCCGGGCATGCTGACTTCTGCTGCAACTGAGAACTTTGGCAGGCTCACCCTCCTACGATTCCTTCTTGCCGTCATCGTCACGGGCGCCCAGGCCAAGAAGGCGGAGGATGCAGAACCCACAAAGCCACCGACCAAGACCCTTGACGTGCTGAGTGGATGCTACTTTGTGGTGGTTCGCCAGCGCTATCTCCCCCTTGCGATGAACGTGCTCGACAACCTGCCGTCCTTTCTCCAGTTTCACCTTGGCGAGTCTTTATTCCCCAATTTCATTCAAGTTATCAAGAACTGGTCCGCTACCGACCTCGCCTACCAGAATCGCAAGCTTCATGTTGAATGGGTGCCGTCGGAGCTACACTCCCGCTGTATTGACGATCCCACCGACGATCAAGGTCCTCAAGTCCGTGATCCCATGGACTTCCTTCTCTGCATGGAAGACCCCATGGAGATTCTTGAGGGCACTCTCCACATCAACATCCATGCCAAACATGTTCGTGACGTAGATGATGGCCTTTCTGTGATCGGTTACCTTGACGATTGGAACGAGAGTCAGGCCCAGCTCCAGACCGCTCTCCAGACCATCGAGACCATTACTGACGAGAAGAACAGTTTGAACCGGGACCTACAGGCCGTTCGTGACAAATTGGAGGCAATGAAGGCCGCCCACGAGGCAGCTGCTGCTATGTCAGAGTTGGCTACAGACTTTAGGCCCATTCCAATGCTTACAGTGGACGTTCCTACCGGTCCACCGGGCCAAACACGCGTCATCACTACTACACTACTCAGTCCCTCGGCTCGTACCATTGTTTCACCAGCGACGGCTCAAGAAACGGACGGAGAAGATGGGGAGGACCAACCCAATGCGTCCTCTCCTATGGACACCGGTTGTGAGGGTATCAGTACCCCCACGACGGGTCCATGATAAACAAAAGATCGCCTGCTGCTCCGTTGCGGCGGAACAGGCATAGATCGTTTATCACCAGCAACCAGTCAAGAGCGGCTCCACACACCTCTCTTGATTCCCTTTTAAGTTCCTTCCTTCCAGGAGATGGTTTTGGTGACAACCATCTTGTTCGTGCACCGGGTTCCGCCCGGCTTGCCTTCCAGAATATTAACACTATTCCCAACAAGTCAGACGACCCTAAACAAGCACAACTCAACCACTGGATTCGAAGCGAATGTGTGGACTTTTTACTTCTGGCTGAATTGAACAAATTCTGGCCAGCAATTACACCAACCAACCGATGGCGTGAACGAGCCAGCACTATGGCTAGGAAGGGCGAAGGTTTCCATTCGGCGGTGGCCTACAATACCCATCAACCACGGGCGGCCCATTCTACCACTCAATTTGGGGGCTGCTCGACTTCTGCCTTCAACGAAGTATCTCACCGAGTTAGGTCCAGTGGCGACGATAGCTTGGGGCGATGGGCTTGGATACGTCTTCAGGGCCGAACACGAGGCGTTGGCCAGCGCGACTTGGTGGTGATCTCTGCCTACCGTCCAAACCCACCTAACGACGGGCATCAAACAGTGTGGTTCCAACATAAGGCCCACTTCAGCCGCACCAACCGCGATGCAGAACCCAGGGAGGCTTTCATCAAGGACCTCTCGACGGCTATCAACAAATGGCGCGACGACGGCTGTTCTATCATCTTGGGCATCAACGCCAACGACGACTTATCCTCCTACTCCCCGAAGTCTTTCCGTTTTCGGATGAGCGAAGTAGGACTGGTCGAGGTGATCCAGTCTAAGCACCCAGGGTCCCATCAGGCCACTTACCAGCTGAACCTCCGTGGGTATCCGATTGACGGCATCTTCGCGACGCCTGACCTGCCCATCCTGGCCGCCGGGTACTACCCTTTTGACGAACACGTCGCCTCCGATCACCATGGCCTGTGGATCGACTTTGACTTGAACAGTCTCCTCAGCGGACACCAACCTACGAGATCCACCCATGTTCCACGCCGGCTGGTGATGCACAACAAACGGGTGGCTCAACGATATGTCCAATTGGCAGAGCAAGGTTATATGCGGTACAATATTCCGGGTTGTCTCTCTACCCTAGGGCTCGATGTTGCCCGACAGCAGGGCGTCATCACCAAATCCCAGGCGGTCAGATTCGATCGGATACACGCTTATGCCTACACAGTTCGACGGTTGGCGGAGCAGAACTGCAGGAAGTTGTCGATGGGCGGGGCAGAATGGTCTCCGACGGGCCAATCCATTCGGGATCGGATCACCTTGTGGCGCCTTCTCCTCAAGGGCCAACGTTAGTGCCGGGTGAGCTCCAGGAAGGTTCGCCGCCTGCTGCTCAAGACGAACGAGCCCTTGGCCTGGAAGTTGACCACAGCCGAACTTGAGTCCCATCTCACCCAAGACCTTGGTCAATATCGAGAAGCCAAGAGGGGCCTCACTTCTAAATGGCGGAAGGCTCATGTCACTGCTCGGACCCAGAGCATTGCTAAGGTCCGTCATAAGACGGCAAGCCAAGGAGAACGATATCACCGCTTACGGTCCATAAAGCAACGCAAGGAGACTCGTCGGAGGCGCAAGGCTCGTTCCTCCGGTTTGTCTGGCGGTCTAAGGGCCATTCAAGTTGAACAGGAGGACAGCTCTGGCAATCGTCGGTTACAGACCATTACTGACCCGACGTCGGTCGAAGATGGATGCATGCAAGAAAATAGGGCCCAATATCAACAAACCCAGACCCCACACTCCACTCCTCCCATGTCTGAGCCACTCTACACTATGTTCACGGGCCCTGACGCGGACGACAACCAACAACTCCTTCTGGAAGGCAAACTCCCCATCCCTAGTGGCCTTGCTTACCCTACCCAAGCCTTCCTTCGCCACTGTCGACTGCACGACAGTTACCGGCCAAGTCCTTCCCCCTTGATGGTTGAAGAGCACGTGGACTTTTGGAGCCGCACTCCTGAGAACAAGGGTTCGGAGCCCCACGGCCTCCATAATGGCCACTTCAAGGCAGGCGCCCTCTCAGAACTATTGGCTTCTTGTGATACGGCGTTTCGGGACATTCCACTCCAGTTGGGCCATGTTCCGGAACTCTGGAAGAACCTAATGAACTTTGCAATTGAGAAGAAGCCCGGTGATTCCGCCCACAAGGGATGCGGACCATCCAGCTGTTCAACTCGGAGGCTCAAGCCAACTACAAGAAAGCGGGTCGGGCTGCAATGAAGAATGCTGAGGAGGATGACATCATCCCTAAAGGCCAGTGTGGCTCCCGGAAGCAGCATCAGTCCATTGATCTTGCCCTTTCCAAACGATTGATCTGGGACTGGTTGATCCTGGAACGACGGTCTTCCGGCTGGATCTCAAATGACGCAAAGTCTTGCTTTGATCGCATTGTTCACTAGGTAGCGAAGACGGCCCTGCGGAGATTTGGCCTGCCGGTCCCTGTCACCAACCTCATGTTTGACATCTTGGCAAAGGCTAAACACAGGGTCCGAACTGGCTTTGGCAACTCGGATCGGACCTTTGGGCCCACTGGCGATGTTCCCTTCCAGGGCTGCGGTCAAGGCAATGGCGCAGGCCCATGCATCTGGGTGGCGATCAGTGCAATCCTCATTGACGCCATGGAGGCCGAGGGATTTGGGTACAAGAGCAGCACTGCCCTCACCAACAAGGAGTTCTTCGCTTTGTGCTTCTGCTTTGTGGATGACACCGATGTCATGGAGTCCAACGACGACGTGGAGACGACTGGCGAAGACCTCCTCCCGTTGGTACAGTCGGCTTTGGACCTTTGGTCGGGTGGCATCAGTGCCACTGGTGGAGCTATCAACCCGGCGAAGTCCTTCTGGTGGCTGATTGATTTCAAATGGCGGCCGTCCTCTGGCACGTGGGTGTTT